ATTTCATTTTTATTATTTTTATTATTATTTCAAGTTTTTGCCAACTTTTACGTTCGACAGATATAAATATATGTATAAATCTTATTTTTCTTAATTTTGAGAATTTTTATTTTTAAGTGTTGTTCATTTTAGTTTTATTTTATTCTTAGTCCAGTTTTACTGTAGTTTTTTTTTCTTTTGTGCGCCAACTTTTACATATTTGTAAGTTGACTTAAGCTAAACAAAGCTAAGCCGCTAAAAGGTCACCAGGTACTGAGTGAGATGTCTTGCCTTGTAAGTCACCAGCGTACAGGAAGTGAAGTCACCCGTCGTGGGCGGGACAAGAGCGCGACCCTATCGTCGGGATCCCGCTCGCAGTCGTTGAGTTAGGCTCGGCCGAATTTCCCCGCCGAATCTTCCAGGCTGGCCGCTAATCACCACCGATTCCTTCGTGTCTATTGCGGCGAATCAGGTGCATAAGCTTAAGCGGCTTGGAGACGTGCTCTTATTAAACTGCAGCCAGCTGCTGGAATTTTCTCCTTCTCCCCTCCCTCCCGCTCATTGTTGATTGGGGCAGGGGGGGGGGGGCATCTCGAGTCTTTCCCGGGAGTTGATTTGCAAGAGAAAGACGAGGGGGGGGGGGGGGAATAAAAGGGGAGCAAGAGATTATTGCACAGGAGGAGAGGAGCTTTGAAGACGAAGTGCTTGTGCGATTTCGCTTCATGTCTCCTCCATGTGCAGCCAAAACCTGTTTGTGCCATTGACAAACGCTTCTTTGAGGCGCCGAAGGTGGAGCGCCGCTTCTCTCTGGCTTTGGCTCAGACGTACAACAACACCTCTTCTGATGTTTGGGCTTCACAAAAGACGCTGGTTGGGGGTTGGAGGAGAGTTGGCGAGGAAGGGGGGGGGCATCTTCTCTTTTTTTTTTTTTTTTTGCAGTGGGCCTTTGTGCGCCCCCTGAAAAGCACACGTCCCGGCCTGGGAGACTGACAAGAGTTGAGGCCGGAGGGCAAATCAGATCCTTGAGAATGAAAGACGGGTTAGCATTAGGAAGGAGAAGCCCTTGTTTTTTAACCTCTGCCTTCGGCGGAGGGGGTTGGTGAAGCGGGGGGGGTTGGGCGTTTTTCAGGTTTCTCTGAATTGTTGGGTTGCCGCTATATTCGTCCCTCACAGTAATACCCCGTTATGTCGCGGTAACTCCTTTGCCCCCCCCCCCCGCTATATGTTGTAGGTTAGCATGAAGCTAGCAACCTTTAGTTTAATTTGAAATGTATCATGTCACAATGTACTCCGAAACTTTTTTTTTTTCTGGCATGGCAGCAATATACTTCTGTCGGAAAGTGGAGGGAGATCACTTTTCCGGCTTTCAAGCATCACATCCATTCCTGCTTTCCTCCTGAATGGTTTGCGGCCCGTTTTGACAATAGCGACATGGACAAGAAGGGGCGACATTTGGGATTTTGGGGACTTTAATGAGCGGCTCGCAGGTGTTGAAAGGAGAGAGCGCGCAGCTACGCTAAAAGGGGTTCTGGGAAGAATGGCGCAACGGAGCACCGGGTAGCTTTCTAGTGGCGCAGGAAGTAGTAAAGGCGGTGCGCGCCCTCTGATCAGGACGGCAGCGAGCACAATTACCTTCTTTTCAAATCCTTCAGTGACACTGCAGGAGGAAGGAGGACTTTGAACAGTTGAAAGGCGCCAGCGCGCTTTCAAGCTCAAACGCGAGCAGGAAAGGCCTCTGAAATTTGTTCAGCGTTCCCCATCCACCATTAGCTTGTTTCTTCCTCTCGCCTGCAGGCATTTAAGCGCTTTTTGAAAAGATGTTAAGAAATTCAATCACCACAGAAAGAGAGAGAGAAGGAGGGAGAGAACGGGATAGTTCTAGTATTTTTTTTTTTTTTGGGGTCTGCAGAGGCCCGGCCTGCTGCTTTTGTGCTGGTCTGAATGGACCCACGAACTGGCGGAGGGCTTAATGTGGTGACCATGGTGGTGGGGGGGGACAGGGAAATTTTAAAAAGTGAAGGTGAAGCTTCTTCATCTTCTACAGCCGGTGTCCACCCGGGAGTCAATTGAGCCTTTGTGCCTCCTGTGTGTTTCGTTAACCATTGAAGGTGCTTGGAAGCGCAGTAATGAAGCCCCTCAAGGTGCTATATGGGACATTGATGAACCCCGCCCCATGCTCGCCATGGTCACAGCTGCGGGGGTGTGTGACACGGCTGTGATTGAGCCATTAGTCGCTTGACCTCACCGGGAGCGGGGGGAGGCGTGAAGCACTTAGAACCTGGCCCGCCAGCCTGGACTTTTCTGGGGCGGAACAGAGGCCACTGGCGGTACTGGCATGGGCTAAGTGTAAAAGGCGTCGTTGCCGAAAGGTTCCGCGTTTAAGCTTGTTGGCCTCCCTTGAGTAGTATGCGGAGAATCACTCAGTTGAATGTCTTATTTTTGTTACTTTAATCCAGTTCAGTTGTATTTAACTTTGAAGGATAATACACTTCATTATACTTGGTATGCTTGTCACATACGGGGGGGGGGAAAAAAATCGGAATTAACCTGCAGTATGAACATAGCCTTAGGCACACTACGATTCTACGTTTCAGTGTCGTAATGACGGTGCTACTTTTTTAGTATTTTTCGAGGTGGTCCTTGGTGTAAAAAGTTTGAGAACGGCTGCCTCGAGCAATGCAAGGCAGCATTTGAGCAGCCACTTCAGAACAACAAAGCAGGTTTACAGAACGCCTCCTTAAGAGAGCCGCGTTCAGGGGATTGAGAAGAGGGGGGAATGTCGCGAAGCCATGCGGCAGGCAGCCCACGGGTCCCGCTCTTATTCCGTGACGGGTCGGCGGCGGCGGCGGCGGCGAAGGAACAGTTTGGGATCCTTTAACGCGGAACTGACAGGCTGAGAGAGGAGCGAGCCGCCCTCATCCGCAGGAAATGACAGCGTCAGTTATGATATAAGCATTTAATCCCATACTGCACAGCCCGTGATCTTATTAAGGGAATAATGGCATTTATACGCTCTAAAGCTGGGTTAATAGGTCTGGCTCTTGCAAAGCGCAATATTAACATAAAGCGATTTCGGGAATTGGGTTCATCCGCCGCCGCCAACACGGGGCTGGGAAAAGTGGAGGCCGCGAGCGCCACGCGCGCTCGCAAGGAAAAAGAAAAAAAAAAAACGCATCCGCCGCTTCCCTCGCTTCGTCTGACGTCGACATGTGAGAACGCGCTAGTTGACTGGAGTACATATTTATGAGCTTATTTATCTGATGTTTAATAAATGGAGCGATGTAGCGGTTAAAAGTCCGCTGGGCGCGCATGTCTACCGGCCAATTTTAGCTGTTGAGACGCTCTTAAGAGGCTTTTTGCGCCCGGGAAATATAAACAGTTGAAAGGGGGTGTCAAGCGGACGTTTACGAAAACAGCGCAAAAAAATGCATCACATGCTGAAATGTCACCCGACAAAGTGTGCGTTTGAGCCAAAGTGACCATGAATGAGTTTAAACTCACTTACGCCACTCACAAAAGTTAGAGCAATGATTCTCAAAGTATGGCTCCCTCTGGTGGCATGTGAAAGAATCCCTACTTAATTTCAGTTCAGTTGCATTTAATTTTGCAGTTCAAAGATCTAAACATTTTTTTCAAGTTTTCTTAAAGAATTTATTTTTGTTGTACAAATTTTTTTACATACAGAATCTCCTATTTTTTTTAATTCACCCGTTTTCTTTTGTTAGTTTCTTGTTCTTTTGTAGAATTAAGCGGGTCATATTGACCCATAAACATTCTTCGCGTACCAAAGAAAGAAACCCAAAAGCAGGGTTAACGCTTCATACTCTTTTCGGATCGCTGACTGACTTTGCACCCCATTAGTCGGCCCTCGCGTAGATGCCAGTTCAAAGGTCAAACCCCATGTCAAAGGCCGTGTCTTTCTTGGCTGAGCTCAGCCCTTGAACTCAACTCGGCGTTTATCCCCTTCTTTAGCCAGCGTGCCAGGAAGCTTTTCCCCCCAGAGATACTGCTCCTCCCAATTTCTCCGTCAGACAGCGGATGAGAGATTTAGTTTAAGAACAGGCCAAAGGGGGGGCTAGGGGGGTGGGGGTGAGAGGAGGGAGGGGGTGCTTGATACAACCCATGACGCTGTTTAATGGGCAGCTTGGAATGCGGTCGGGAAGCCTCTCTTGCTCTCTCTATGGGAGTTATGAAGGAGAGGGAAAAAAAAAGCTGAATTTAAGAGCAGACTTCTGGGAAATCCTCAAGTTTGAAACGCTTTTGCCCATATACGCCGCACCTCCCACATGTGGCTGTTTACACGGATGATAAAAAGCCTCACTTGGTTGCAGGTGAGGAAAAGCGGACACTGTTTTTTTTTTAAAATTGAAAAATGTTTTAATTTAGATTTAAAAATCGAAATCATCTTGCCCCATTGAAATGAATGGGAATACAATTAATCCATTCCAGCCACTCCACAAATACTCCCAAATCAAAAGTTTAAACATGTTTTTTCCCCACAAACAAAAGTGTACTCAACCGTATTTACTTACCATAACCACTCTTCATCACATTTGCTCTCCATAAAATCTTCAAACACGGCAAATGTGAGTTAAGAACATCATTGTCCTTCATGGATTGTTCGTTGGCGACTGGCAAACCAGCCTCATGGCGCTTTTGCGCCACCACCTGTGAATTCATGGTCTGTCGATGGGTGTCTCTCGTTTCTGCAATGTCTTCCTTCATGAAGCCCCTTGTGGTCATTTTGCAGAAGACGAGAGCTCGGGCCCGCCGTACCACCGCGAGAGGCGCAACGCCCTGAGCTCGGAGCGCGGCGTGACCGAAGAGCCGTCCACGTCCACCGAGGAGCGGCCTTCGCCGCTCAAGAAGGAGCTGCCCGGCTCGCTGCCCCACCTGGCCGATCACGCCCTTCCCTACCGGGGGACCCTCTTCGCCATGGACCCCCGCAACGGCTACCTGGACTCGCACTACCGTAAGAAACTTTCAGGCGCTCTTCTTAGCAGTAGTGCACGCCAGAAGGCTGTGCCAGTGAGTGTTTTTCAGTAGCATGTGAGAGAGTGTTTCATGAGTGTTTGTGAGAGAGTTCCAAGTGTTTTTTGTTTTTCCGTATTGTGTGCGAAAGCGTTCCAGTGATGAATCTGAGTGTTAGTGTGTGAGAATGTGTCAACAGTGTGTGTGAAAGCGTTTTAGAGGTGAATGAGAGAGTGTTTTAGGAGTGAGTGTGGGAGCTCTTTCCAATGGAAATGTGAGAGCATTTCACTGGTGCATGTGAGAGCATTTCAGTAGTGTGTGTGGGCGTATACTTTTCTGTCGGATGTGTGAGAGTTTTTCAGTAGTGAATGTGGATCATTTCAAAAGAAAGCATGTGGCATGTGAAAACATTTCAGTAGTGTGTGTGTGTGTGTGTGTGTGTGTGTGTGTGTGTGTGTGCGTGTGAATGATTTTTCACTAGTGTGTGTGAGAGAGAGTTTCGATCATGGGTGGGACCATATTTGGAGTGTAGTGTAATGAATCATTTTCCCCATGAGTGCCTGAGAGCATTTCGGTCGTGTGCGATCGTTTCAGTAGTACGTGTGAGCGAGAATCAGTTTTCATTGATATGAGAATGTTTGAATAATACAGTATATGCAGGAATGTTTCAGTAGTGTGTGAGAGCATTTTCAGTCGTGGATGTGAGAGGTCATCCCGTCGGTCCCTGACAATCCAGTCCACCTTGCACGGTGGCGTTAGTACGGCCAGCGCGCCGGCTTAATTCCCTCATTAGGGCGGGCTGTCTGGGCGCCGGGCTCACTCTCGTCAACTCGCACTTCAAACGGCCCAAATTCAAACCGCATCTCCTTGCTCCTGCTAGCCCGCACCCCTCCCACCTTGCTGACAAGCAGGCGTAAGCCTTACGTGAGGTAGTGGAGATCATCTGAGGCAAAGGTGGGCGGCAGGGAGATGATTGGGCTAGCAACAGTCTGATTAAGAGGCTAATTGCCTGCTGGGTTTGCCATCAATCGGCTCTGAAGGGGCTTGAGGCCGATTGCTAATGAAGAGTCCAGCGGACCCCGACCGCCAGGTTTAAGTTGATTTCCCGAAGGGAAAGCTTTCTTGAAAAGAAGTCCGTGCTGGTGGCGTGACGGCCGCCGCGATGTTCGTGGCTATTCCGTCCTGGCCTAACTCAGCAACACTGCCACTTCTCGTTTGTGCAGTTGGTAGGTCGGAGACCACTGAAAGCGGCAAGTGGGGGTGAGGGCGGCTCTTTCCCTTCCCTCGGTGTCACCCAAGCTTGTACCCTCAAGTGTAACATTTGCTCAAGTGTGAGCAAAATATTTGTAGTTCTGAAATGATTTTGAAAACATTTTTTTTTTCGGTATCTATGCTCTTAGCTGTAACACGTGCAGGCAGTCTGGCCCCCGAAAATTCATCCCAGGTGTGTGCCGGTGATGAAGAGGCCCTGCACAATAACACAGAAGCCCATAAATCGGCTTAGTGTTGTTTCTGGCCCGTGTCGGCGCGTAATGCGTCTAAATGCGACGACACCTGCAGCCTCCGCACACCTGCCGGCTGCTTGTCGAGAAGAAGAAGGAGAAAAGAACAAGGGCCGGAGTTGGCTCGTTGTCTTCATTCATCGCAGACGCGTCATCGTCCTTGGCCTGAGCTTGTGTTTACTTTTGGGCTTTTCCACCCACTTGAGAGGAGCCACTAAGGAAACATGCCCCCTATTGTTAGCTTGAGCTAATCGCGGTGATGCCTGGGTCTTAGCCGCTTTTCTTGGGCAAACACGCAGGATAAGAGTCCGCGTCCCTTCTTCCCGCCGCGCTAATGCACCAAGGCTTTCGGCGGTGGGGATAAGGAGGAACGGATTGCGCCGCGGATTAATGAGGGAGGCGGCCGTTTGTTTTTCAACATCCTAATTGTCTTTTAAGTGTGAATGCGACATCTGTTTACATTATGCGCCGATTAGCCGGTCGGCCGGTCAGCCGTCTTCTTTTAAAAGTGCCTCTTTCTTGAACGTTCGGCCCTCCTTTGCCAAGACGGAAGACAAAAGCCCATTCTTTCTTTTCAGGCCACGGATTTCTTGCAAATGTTAAAACGGCTGCCTAAAACACCAGAGAACGCGGCGGTGAAAAAGTCCAAATCTCTCCGCTTCGGAATCAGCTTGGCGAAATGACTTTTTTTTTTTTTTTACAGCATCGTGATGACCGTCTTTTGCTCCTGTCAGATCCTCGCACAAAAGCCTCCTTGTGTCCCCGACTGATGGCACAATCCGAGCGCGCTAAGAGTTTTTCCTGCTTCCTTCCCCTTCCCGATCCTCTCTGGGAAGTGCCTGATACCTGGATCACTCTGTGATCCGCCAAGAAGAGGAACAGAGGTCAGGGGCGCTTGATTGGTGGCAAAACTGCTGCGGCGAGCTGATCTCGGGGTTCGTTGAGCCGTAGCGCGTCCGTCCGGCCGTCTAGGCGTCCGTCTCAATATCAAAATGCGGCTGACCAGTGAACTGAGTGAGCCGGCTGTCACCGCCACGGAACGTGATCGGCACAACAACGGCCTCGCAGTGCCGACAAGTAATTACAGTGCTCCGCTTCATGTGGACTGCACAAGACATTTCCATTCATCTTCAAGTATGTGTGTATGTTTTGGATGGAGTGGGGGTGGGGGGGGCGTCAGGGGCTTAGTGCGAGCTCGGGTTACAAAACCAAGGAGTGACCCTTGGAGTTTATTCCTAGTTCTGGTGTCGTTCGAGTATTTTCAAGTGAAGCTCATGCGTCGCTCTCGTTTAGTTGTAATGCGGTTCGAATGCACTTGTAGGTCGACTTGAGTCTCGTTTTATTGGCTTAAAAATGCAACTTTTAGAAACTTTTGTATTTCATTTTGTTTTTATTTTACTTCGTTTTGCTTCGCTGTCTGCACTCAGGTGGGCATTGCAAATGAGAATCTGTTCTCAATGGCCTTACCCGGAGAGAATCAAGAGATGTCCCGCTCATTTAGTTCCCTTTCGAAGAGGCTTGGCGTGCCTTCAAAGAAAAGAAAAAAATACTCGTGCAGTTGTAGTTCTTCTATAGTTCACGTGTCGTTCTAGTTTAGTATCGGGCTTTGAAAAGCAAAAAAAAAAAAAAAGTGACCCTCTGTGAACTCACTTGGGCTGGCGCGCCTTCAAAAGGAAGCCCGAGGTGCTAAGACGCGGGCTAAATGTTTGTCTTTGCGACACCTCAAATATTGAGCGCGGTGGCGAGGTGCAGTCCCTCGGCATCATCAACTAGCAGCAGCAGCCCCGAGCGCGCTTGCGGGCAAACGAAAGGGACGCCTTCCATCCGCGGCCGATGCCTTTCATCAGGACAGAAACAACACGGGGGTCCCGGTGGTCCGGCACACCAGGGATAATCAGATGATCCCCTTTTTACAGCTTATTAGCAGCATCGTTCGCTCGCAAGATAGGCCCTGATCTGCCATGCGAGTTGCTCTTTGTAGTGAGCGCCGCATGACTTGAAGGGTAGGAAGGCGGGGGGTGCAAGGGGGGGGTGGGCATCAAGAGTTTCAAGTGTCGTAAAGTCATGTGACGCGGTCTGGAGAAATAACGGAGTGTCTCGTTAACAATGACGAGATTAAACGCGAAGGGGGTAAAGGAGAATTAAGCGGAATTTCCAGGGAATTTAGCACGTTCAAAGAATGAGCGCTTCGCCGGCGTATCAGCGCGGCAACATCTGTTGTAGCGCCCATGTCGCATTTTTTTTTTTCCCTAACTTCCTCGTTTTCTTATTCGGGCCATTCACCCACGCGGACAAAACATTCTGCTGATGTGGCCGAGGCTTAAAAGTAAGATTTGCGGCGTCTTGATGACAATAACAATTTAATCGGAGCCTCTGTAGCCTCCTTATTAGCAAGGATCATCGCTTCTGCGTGTTTTGCTCCTGATTTATTTATTTTTTTTGTACATCTCCATAAGATAAGCTAACATCTTTGCCTTTGCTCAGCAGGGAACAACTTTTAGCTTCTTTGCACTTCTAATGAGATTGAAAAACATGCTGAACATGCTGTTCCCTTGCACAATAAAGGCTTGGACATCTCGTGCGGTTTTGGTAAAGTTCGCTGGTAGTTAGATTACAGTCACTTTGGAAGAGGGGGGAAAAAAAAAGTCAAACTAAGAAACCGAGTTAAGTTCTGTTGCCGTTCTCGTACTGGTTTGGGAATAATACAGTGTCATGTAGTCCTAGTTTCGGTTTTAATTGCAGTTGTGGAACTAATTGTACCGGTAATTGAATATTTTTGCACTTCCACAGTAGTACAAGTTGTAGTTTAGTTCCAATATAGTTACAACGTACTTCAAAATTTTATTGCAGTTCTAGAACAGTTTCATTTCATTGCAGTTTCGGTGTAGTGTTAATTAGCTTAGCTTAGGACAAGTAAAGCGCTAATGCAGTTCTAGTTTAGTTATATTGCAGTCCTAATGTCAATTGTAGGTCAAGTTTAGTTCTCATGTAGTGCGATTGCAGTTCTGGCTGTAGCGTAGTTCGATTGTGTAGTTCCGGTGTAATTCTAGTTTAGTTTTATAGCAGGTTTAGCGTGCTACTAGCTTAGTGTGATTACAGTTAAAATGCCTTTGAAGTTATAGTTTGGGTAGAGTTTGAGTTTAGTAATACTTTTAACTTTATTTGGTATGGTTCTAGTTTAGTTCCATCGCAGTTCTGGGGTGGCTTACGTTCCACTTTAGTTCTAGATTGGTTCAAGTGTAGTTCTAGGGCACTTATGGTGCAGTTTTATTGCAGTGCTGATGTACTTGAACTCATAATTTTTACCAAATGGAGCTCCTGTTTAGGTGGATTGCAGTTCTGTGTTGAGATCTGGTCTGTTGTGCAGACGTGGAACTTTGAGTTTGGTCGAGTAAAGTTCAAGCGAATGACATTCAAAGAAACACTTCATGTGTAAATCTCGAAAATTGCGTTTCCTACTTTTTGTACCAAAGCCTACTAAATGTTATCGCAGAGCAAATTGACGTCAGCGTTATCGTTCTGAGAATCCCCAGTTGCTATCGCAGAGCAATATGTGCTTTTAAATTTGCTTTCTATGAGCGCAAGACCGCCTCTCTGACCGCCGCGACATCTCCAAGCTGAGCCTACAAGTATCCACGCGGCGGCGGCAGAGGTGGTGGAGTGAAGTGAAGTGAGGGGAGGCGTGAGTAACAAAGCCCAAAATGAAGAGAGACATAAAAGAACGGGAGCGCAAGGAGGTCAGGCCCATCACAGGCTTTAGTGTTGCCTTCAAAGATGCCTGAGACAGGTGGCAGCTCCAGACAATCTCACAGCGCAGAGCAGCATCCTCTCAGGAGGAGATAAGGGATTCCTCCATGCGGGGCACCTTCCCCTCCGCCCCTGCCCAATCCCCCCCCTCTCCCTCCACCGACCGTCTCCGGGCTCTTCCTTTGATGTGGCTCCGCCGCCGGCACCACGGGGGCCGCTCGGGGCCACGAGGGCGGACCTTCGGGAAGCGGCGCCCCAGCCCCGGCAACTTCTCAGGTCTCATTAAAGCGCTCTGCCGGTGCTTAATCCTCTCCGAGGTTTTTACAGCCGGGCCCAAGGTTTGTCTGGGCGCCGGGGCTGCGGGGAAGCCCAGAGCGCCACCTGCGTGACAAAGAGGCCAAAAATCACCGTGACGCAAGTTCCCGCCCCCCCCCACCCCCCTTCGCTTCGTTCTCATCTCTCCTGCCTCCCGTTTCCCTTGATAGCACCTTCCAATCTTGGCGGATTATTCCGGGGTGGACGCGGTTGACGGGGATGCACTAAATGGATTACAACTTTGTCCTTGTTTTGGAATTCGGGCTGAAAACAAGCGATTAGCTTCATGAGAGAAGGGATGCGAAAGTGAAGAAGAGCAGCCGGAGTTGAAGTTGAACTTGAGTTCTGATGTCGTCTGGTTTTAGGTCAGATGCGGTTTCAGTCTAGTGTATTTATTTATTTTCTCTTGTGCAGTTGGAGTTCTGGTCTCCTGCAGGCCTGATGTACTCTAGTTAAGTCCAAGTGCGAGTGAACCTCTGACTCTGTTCTGTTGCTGGTTAGTGTAGTTCAACTAGCTTAGTTCGAATGTAGTTCAACGTTTCGTTTCAGGGTGTGCCAGGTGTAGTTTTAGTGTAGTTTGATTGAACGACGAGACATCGGAGCTCCAGTTTTGTGTTATGGATGTAGTTTTATTTGTCATTCACTTCTCGGCTAGTTCTGGTGTAGTCCGAGAGTAGTTCTAGTGCAGTTCCGGTGTTGTTGCAATGTAGTTCTGGTCCAGTTTTCGTTTACCGGGTTGCACTTTTGGTGTTTAATTTCCCTTATGCGTGTCAAACAAGAGTTTGAGCGGCAGATACTTGGCATTGTGACTTTATTTTGAAAGATTCCGGCCCGTGTTTTCTCCTATCTACAACATCGGCGATAACACGGTCGGAGGAGGGACAAGGCCCGCGGAGTTTCCAGACCACGTAGACAAAACACCACCCTTGATTTCGTTGTCAGTTAGCGGCGACGCTCTCCGCAAACGCAGAGTGTCGGAACGGGGCCAAAGAAATCCCTGCGAGGGTGGAAATAAAATAGACGTCGCCCGGCGCTTGTGAGTTAACTTGAGGTTTAAATCAACTCGCCTTGTGTCGGAGACATATCAGCGATTGGGAGGGGAGGACGGGGAGGAAGCTGGGGGTGGGGGGGGTCGTTTGGGCGCAGAGGCCGGCACATAGCGCTTTGTTCAGCTCCCCCCCAGCTTATCCCAATCTGGAGAAATTCAGCAAATGTGGGAGATAGATTGGTGCTCCGCAGAGGGCTGGTGAAATAAAACCGCACTCCCTCATCCACTGTGGGATAGATGCTGAGGGTGGGAGTGGGGGGAGTGGGGGGGGGGTCGTCGTGCATGCTGAGTTCCTCTCTCCAGCAAGACCAGGGTCCTCTATTTGTTCTGTGCTAATTAGCTGATTAGACCTAAAACAATCGAGGTCATTAAGGAAAATCAAAAAAGTCGGGTGAAGCCAACTTTGGTGCTCAAGACACACTTTGGATTTTTAACAGCGGCATGTGGGCCAGTTCATTTGTAAATCAGATTTTTTAAAAAAAGGCAATGTGTAGAAAATATAAATAAATCAAATGTGACAGTGTCCCGATTGACAGCCAAACATGCGCGCAAAAGGCTTCCAGCGAGCTCGGCGAGGCCAAACAAACCTGATATTAACTCCAAATGTTTACCTCCCAACTTAATCACAGCTCTGCTTTACACCCGCGGATTTGGGGCCCCTTCCGGAGGCTTGTTTTTCATCTATTTTCAGACGTTTTGGGCCGCATGACGGGGATATCCCTCTCGTAGCGCCATCTAGCTTCAAGTGTAAAACATGTCGTTGACAATTTTCAAATACCGGTCGTGTATTCTCGTGTCGCCGTCATTTCATTCTCGTGTAGCTCGAATGCAGTTTTCGTGGGTGCAGTTCTGGGGCCCCGTCTTAGGCCTGGCATGCCTCGGCGGTGAGCTCAGGCATCGTGAGCGAGGTGGCATCATAAAAGGTGTCGGCGTCGAACTTCATATGTTCCACATTAGCGCGTGGCAGACCTCCGCAAGCCGTGCGCTCGCTCGCTCCGCCCCGGAGCCCCCTCGACAATCCGTCAGAGGCTCTTTGTGCGCTCGCTTGCCCGCCGTCGCTCGAGCCGAGACGGTAACCTCCACCGCAAGCTGACTTGACAACGACAGACCACGGATGGAAATTGTTTATGAAAATCTGATTTACAAGTGGTTGCACGGTTCAGTGAAGGGGAGGGGTGGGCGGGGCCAGAATTAAAATCCTGCTTGCATGGAGGATTTTTTTTTTTTCCAACTTCGATGATGATTTATTTCAAATGTATTGCATATAAACGGTCCATTAAAAATATACCTAAATAAATGTTTGAAAACAAGCATTTTGAGAGGACTTTTTAAAGGCACGCTTACCATATTTGAACGTAAAAAAAAAAGTGCACGTATTCAATGTGAGTGAAAATGTGTGATAACAACGGCATCGAAAAATGAAAGGTGATATGTTTAAAGAGGGGTGCCGATGTGCTTCAGGCTTGATTCTCTTCTTCTTTTGACAACAGTTTTCAAGTGTCCAATCAAGGACGCGGCAATTAGTGTCCCCATTTTGAACGGAGGGCAACTTTTATTTCGATGGGGTGTGGGAGGGGAATTAATGAGCTTGGTCAAAGTTTGTCTCTAATTGCCTTCTCACAAAGACCCGCTTGCAACCGTGTCTTAATGACTTGTGCAAAAAAAAAAAAAAAAAAAAAAAAAAGAAGAAACAAAAATGAACAGTGCCATCAGGGTCATTAGGAGGAAACATTTGGATGATGATGAAAAGTCTTGATCAAAACTCCACTTTCAGCTTTTGGGCCCCCCCCCCTCTCCCTTTGCCGTATCTACGGCCTCAAATGGCCTTCCTTTTGAATATCCAGAACAGCCACTGCAATTTAGCCCAAACGTAAACACTGTGGAGTCCCCACAGGAAGCCGTGGAGATGGATGGCAGGATGGATCCAGACCCCCCCCCCCCCCCCCCCCCCCCCCCCCC